AAATGACCACTGACTCTCAAATATTGATACCTGCCTCAAAAACTGTGTACGAGTCATGCTAGAATAGTAGATTGTTAAATTATAACTCATCTTCTCATGATAGCTACCTGTATATGAAGCTCTTCAGGAATCTGGACATTAAATAGCAAATGAGATTGAGGAAGTGAGAAATGGAAGCTTAAACTATCCCATCACACAAAGGCCTTTGTTGAAATTTTAGATAACAGGGCAAAACAGGAAGTTTTACAACTCTACTTCTCATGGCCATATTCTACCCAGATAAGTTCTCTATTAAAATTGTGAAAAAAAAACCCACATCCATCACTTTAGCAATGATTATACTGGAATCTGATTAGATGCGATGTGGTCGTTACTTGAAAACAGCTGTCTCTTGGGGCTGTAGTTCTCCAGATGTGTGCTATGTTCCATCCCTCCTCATGTCTTACTTCCATTGGACATTCACTATGGCTGCATTTGGTCTTGGCTGATTCTAATGTGAGCTTGACCCCTGCCACATCTAGCTGCTGAGCTGATGGCGCTAAGAGCAAGTATCCAGATCTGTCGGCCGATGCGATCAAATGAACGGGTATTATTAAAATGATGTTATGAAGTTATAAAGAGCACAAACTGATCCTGTTTACCTGTAATTCCTCCCTTAAAACTGAAACATGCCTGGCACGACACGTTGCATTCAGTATTTACTGAATTTGTTTCATGCAGTTGCTCGTGCACAGTCCTGTTGCCACATGTTATGAGCCCCGGGCTGAAGCAGATTACAGAATGAATGGGATGGAGTGAAAAAGTGCAGACACCACGTTTGAGTCATGCTACGGGAATGTGATGAACCTACAAAGTTATTATTGCTTTGGCCATACACATGCAGGAGGGTGAGGGTGGGGGGCGGCACATGCACACAGAACCCTGTATTTATATAAAGACATCTCTTAGTGACAGGGACATTTTGACATATGCTATGCGCACTATTCTTTAAAAGGTTAAAATCTAAGTGCTGACTCAAGCTAAAATTTTAACATACATCCTGAATAAATGTTGGGAGGGGTCCACACCTGTCAGTCAAATACAAAAGTCTGGTCTATACTCTCTCACAGCTGACACTGACACATGGTCCTACAGCATATGTATATGTACAGTATCGACCTGATAAGAACAGGTGGGCTGACAGATTAACAACACATGCGCAGAGTCCAGACACACCCTGAGATGACAAATCATAAACAGATGTAAACATGTGCCCGTATATTGCACATTCCTCGCCCGTGTCACCCTTTTAATTGCAGTTCCAATATCTGTCTTTGATGGTATAAAAGTCATACAGTATAAAAGATTGCTTCATCTGGATCAGTGGTGTGAAGTGTTGTTCAGTCATAAAGGAAATGTCTTTGTTATGGCTCTGCTCTCTGTTCCAGTTCCAGAGTCAAAGCTTTGTGCTCTACTGCTGTGTTTTCTAATTACCGAGCAGAGCCACGCGTGTCTGGCCGAGTCCGGCTGGGATTGCAACTCTCATTGGCGGAGGGGGTGGGGGCACTCTGCGGAGGATTTGGGAGGTTCTCCTTTGTTTACATGCTTGTAGAGAAAACCCCAACAATAACAGTTAGCTTGGGCAACAAGACAATCTACAGTTATCGAGACAGACTCGTGGGGTGCAAGCTGAGCATGCACACACCTATATGTATAATGAATTAACCAGGTGTCCAAAAACATAAGCCAAATGAAGAGTCCTTCTTCTTTTTGATTCTATCCTTTATGCTTGACATGACACTAAATATACAGTATATGAATGCATATTTTAGTTGGGACATAGGCAATCATATGGTTTCAGTGTCTGAAGAAACTTTCCAAAGCCAGTATGGGTTACATGCTCTAACAGCCCAGTTCAGGCTGTAACAGAAAGAAGCGGCCCTATTCTTCTGTGGGCATATGTCCCACTTTGTGTTTGCAATAAGACAGGATCATATATCTTGACTTACAAAGCCCTTAATCCAATTCATGCAGTTCAGACTCCAAATCTCTGTATACTTCAACCTAACAAGCTGCGACGAGAAAGGCATTCAGAGTCTACGTGCGGATGTTCTCCAAGACTACGCAATGTGGTCAGTACAGTAATGGTGCTTTATTGTGATTGAGGCTCCAGCATAACAACAGAAAAATCAATGAGATTCTTTGAGAAGCTGAGTCTCTGTAGGCGTGTGTATTTTTCTGTTTAAGGCTTTGTTATATATCTTATCTCTCTTTTATGAGTAAATCAACATCAAGCCCTGACTCTGTTCAAATACAGTTAAGTCAAGCCACCACATGTCTGATACAAACACACACACACACACACACACACACACACACAAAAACAACCATACACACTGCCCCACTGGCTCTCTATCAGGAAACTTAACACCTACATCCTGGTATCATAATCTAAAACCATGGCAACAAAACCAGTGTACAGTGCAAACAAGTTTTTGTCTTCTTGTAAGATTCTGCGATTGCATCACTGCGTTTTCAATGCATCAGATTTCATCCCACCCGCATGTAAAGGGGCCGTAATACACCCTGTTTTTGGGACAAAAGTCAACACAAAGCATAAATACAATTCAGCTGTTCAAAACATTTTTAGAAAACAGAAAAGCAAAAGTACAGATCTGATCTTTTAGCTAGATTGTCATCTTATTTCCCAATCTCTCAGCCTATTAAAGCATTACCATGTTTGTCAAGCAGAGGTAGTGCACTACCTGAATCATATACATGTTGACTTGAGATCGTTCAGTTAGTAGATGAAGGTCTGAACAGTAGGCTCACTGTTGCAGCTATCTAAAGCTCTTTTTCCTCAGGTGAACATTTTATTCATAAAGGTGCATTAATTATGATGTTAGTAAATGTGATCTTTGTTTCAGGTCAGGTGGCCCACCTCCCCAACAAAACACTGGGGGGGAAACCCTGGGTCTCCTTTACATATTCTTCCTGATTGTAACTTTGGCTTGTATTTGGACAAATTTTGAAAAATACCTAGCTCTAGGCTTACAATTTTTAATCACAGAAAAGGGCACAAACCACTGCACAAATCAATGTCTGCCCTGCAGAGTTGAGATGTGTTTGCTAAAACCGCGAGGACTCATCCCTCATCACAGAACCTCTGACACCCCACTCTTTGTCTGCGTGACTCATTACAGGGGAAAAACTTAAAACATTTATTACAAGGTAGTCTATCACCATCAGTGAACAAAATGTCTGAAGAAATAGTAACAGAGCCTGCTCAGCAACAAGCACACACACAGTAACACTGTGGCTCATGCGGTGAGGGTCTTAAGGTTCAGTGTGTTCTGCTGAGTAATGAAGATTTTGTGCCCACAGACAGTCCAGCAGGACTGTAGGAGATAATACTGTCAACCCACATGACTGCCATCCTGGACACACACCCATTCTGAACCTAAATACCTTGACTTTCTTGAGGTCAGGTTGAGTCTATGACATGGACTCAGCTTCTATAATGATACATTAGAGAAACCCAAACCACCTAGGGCCACATGGCATTATAGCATGGAAACTCAGACATTTCATTCACATATTTATATCCCTTTGACTATAATAATAATGGAGAGCATTCAAGTTGTAACATCCCCCACACACACACGCACACACACACACACACACACAAACACACACACAGTGACAGCATCAGCTTTTACGGGAAACAAGACAGCAAGAGAGACTGAGTAAGAGAAACACGAGAGAGAGGAGGAAAGGAGGGGGATCAAAGATCAGAAAACAGATGTAAATCGTTTAGCAAACTCCCCTCCAAATGACTAACACATGTGCAAGAAACTTTCCCCTCCCTGCGCACACAGGCACCCAGATTCCTGAGCGCTCTGTACCTATACAGTGGAACACATTTGTATATGCCACCTGCTTTAGTCACTTCTCTTGTCACTAGAACGCACGATGATCAGTTAAACTACTTCATATGTTAAAACTGCTCAGTTGTATTTTCCAGGCTGCAGTTCCACCTCCACCAAGCAAAAACTGACACACACACACACTCAAACCAAACCCGCTGGCTAGAGTTGGGTTTGACTCTGTTTGTGAAGTGTCTGGCAAAGTTTAAGTCACTCTAAGACTGAGACTGGCACACCTGTTGAGACATCACAAAACAACATACACTTCTCTCTGACAGTTGGTCGGTGTGTCTGGTGACAGCACAGGTCAGTGTGTCAGCTCTGAGTGAAGCCATGTGCTCTGACAGAGGGCTTTAGTCACTGCTGTGCTATTACACACACAGTCTTACTCACACACGAACAGTTCATGATACAGCTCATCCATTTAAAAAAAAGGTCTCTTTTTATGCTGTTTGTCTCACAAAAAGCCCCACTTCAATAGTAAGGATGTCATTTGTAGACTATGGTGACAAAGGTGTTGTATTGTATGGCCTAAAGCTTTCTGGTACAAATCTGTGACTTTGAGATAAATAAATAAATACATAAACAAACTTAAAACCAAGAGTGATTCTATACTGTTGTTTACAGATATTACTGTAAAATCGCATGAAAACTGCAGAGTAAGTCCACATAACACCTCTGACCACCACAGACACATAAGGAACAGTGAAGGTTGTTTTTCTACTGCTATTCTTCACCCAAAAGTAAAATAGTAACCTGTAAACTCACGAATGACTTTCAGTCTGCTACAAAGTAACTGTAACTGTGGCTTTAACACGCTATGTCAACCTCAACGTGTTCGCACTGTCCCGTCGGCTACAGTCATGCGCTGCAACAAAAGGAAAAAATAAAACAAGAGTTTATATTTTGCAACCTCATTCTCACTGTCTTCAGTCTCTTCACTTCGTGGTTACTTTCTAGCATCCGATTAAACACCAAAACCCGCTGCTTCCACCGACTGGGGAGCACAGACTGGGAAAACGTGCTGCTTTTGTTAGTGCGATCGAGAACCTTGCGAAAAACGCACGGGCTCCAGACACACACATACACACCTACCTCAAAGTCGACCCCGAGACGACTTATCCAGCTCAAGTTGTTTAATATGTAAAATGACAAAGTGGTTCAAGCCGCATCAGTGCGTCTCCGGATCACTTCTTGAGGCTGAGGTGTGTCTGCGAGACTCGGCTTTTGAAACTATTCAACCGCTTCAGCACACACACGCACACATACACACACACACGCGCGCGCACACATATACACACGCTCTCAGTCAGGACCCATAAAAAATGTAAATTTGACATTGGTGGGAGGAGCTGTGTGACGTCACGTCCTCCTCCTCTTTCTGCTCATTGAGGTAGACTGGTGGGGACTCCTCAAGCGCAGGGCGGGGCGTGGTTTGAGCGCGTGTTAGTGGGCGCGCGCTCTCCATCCACTGCACAATAGGGTATGCATAAAAGTCTCACTGTAATTGTTATGACCTGCGGGAAGCAACGTTATACTAGGTATATCACACGTATTATTTTCTATCAAATGATTTACATTGTTGTACACTGTTGTGAAATTTAAAGTATTTTAAATATTTGAGAAAAAAATTGTTTGTAATGACTGGTGACTATTGTGCATTCGGAAATTCTAATCATTTTTTCTTGAAGAACTTAAAGGGGAGTTGGCAGTGTTCTCTCGGTCAAATTATTTCATCATTCTTCTTTGATTACTAGAGATCAGTCTGTTTCCTGTGGTTGATGCAGGATGAATCAGAAGGATCTGTTTTATGTAGATCTGCTGGATTACACTGCCTTGCTAATTTCAGTGGGTATACAGTATATCCTTTTTGACTGCATCTCAGTGGGTTCAGTTTAAGTTGCTGTGCTACAGAGTTAGCTTACTGGAAATGACAAAGAGCACTTAACGACCCAACGGTGTGGTCAGAAATCTAAATGTGCCAGAGATGGGGGCGTCGGAGAAGTGCAACATTCCTAAGGACCTTCTCATAATTTAAAAGAAGGGTGACTAAGTGTTGAGCTGAACAATAGGAAGAGTCATGAGAGGGGTCGCTTCTGACAGAGAGGACCCTCTATACAGGAAACAGATGTGTGTGCAGTACATACTGTGTGTATGTGTGTGTGTGCACGTTATTGTGTGTAAGAGAAGAGCAAAATATGATACACCAAATGTTGGAGTAACACCTAACACTATATCCTTAGCCAACCTCACTATAGTGGTCATCATGTATTTTTATTGCTTATAGGAATAGTTAAACATTGTGGGAAATATGCTTATTTGCTTTCTGGCTGACAGTTAACTGCTACATATATACAGTAGATGAAGCCAGTAGTCTTAGCTTTGCTTAACATAAAAAGCTAACATGTACAATCTCACTCATTTAATTTGCACAAAAAATGTAAAAAAAACATTTAATAGAAGTTATGCTCTGACTGTTTGTTTACCGGGACAAGTTGCCAGGCAAGCCACAAACATTGTGAATTTTTTTGTCCTCAACCAAGAAATAGTTTGGCTCATAACCGCCCTGTAAAAAGGCAAACTGTTGTACAGCATAAGAGTAGTACCAATCTCCTGACTCTAACCCTTGGCAAAAAGTATACGAGTATATTTCCCATAATGTGAAACTATTCTTTATAGCTTAACATTAACACTTTCACCACTGAAGTTGTGTTATTATTAAGCCATGTTATAGATAACACCTTGGCCTTATCGGAGGAACTTCCTCAATGCTATGGAAACACGGCTGTTTAAGGGAAGCAACGTTGCTAGCGATTGCTAGTGAGATATTGCATCTGTCAGTGGTTTCCGTTTCAGGGAAACTTTGTAGTTCTTCTAAACCACAAACAAAATAAAGAGAATCACTTGGATAGTTACATTGCTAATACATGCAAACTCAAGTTTGATCAAGTGGAACCCCCCCTTTTAATGTAGAATTCAAAAACCAGTGTGCTCTTTACCCTACAGCTTCTGTTAGCATTAGCTCTAATACACCATTTTACTGTAAATAAAAGCTGACTGGGTGATGCAGACACATTTGGGTGCTGAATATCATGTTGTCTGCTGTTTACTCACTCTCTCACTCCTTGCAATAGGACAGCTTTCCTCCCCCCACCCCTTCCAATCTCACACTGCTCCTATCTGAAGTCTAACTTCTGGGACATATGTTTCTGTTATAGTCCCAGGGTTTCCCACAGTGTATGTGTGTGTGCACATGTGTATGTAGGTTTGTGAGGCCCAATGTTTTTTCTTTGCCAGGCCTCCAAGGGCCTCTGCTTTAAACAGGATATGATATACGATATTATCTGAAAACCATGGTGACAAAGAGACCTTCCTGGAAGTGTTTGCAGGTCTTCCAACTGATAATAGTGAATCTCTTTTGGGAAAACTTTGGGGAACATTCTTTTCTGGTCAAAACAAAAATAGGTGATAAAGGTGTATACTCATAAAAATTTTGTGCCCTGTTTTTGTATAAATTTGTTGCTCTGTGATGAAGGAAAATAACACCGTTTTGAGAACAAATAGATTGCACAAGTGCACAAGGAGGATAATTGTGTTGTTGACATTGTGAAGCCACAATTAACATCATACCACCATAGGAAGAGGGAAGATGGTAAATGATTGCCCATAATTGTAGTGTGCATAAACACTACCCCCACATGTATGACTTACTTCTAAATGGCTGGGTGTTTACACCATCAGTACACCCACTATACTGTATGCTGAGTATGTTAAAAAGCCCTTAGTTATGTGTGAGAGCCTTGTTGAAATTGTCTTTTGTTCTTTTTGAGCATCAAACCATGAGTTTCTTCTTTCTCTAACTCAGAACTCACCCCAGTCAGACATAATGGATTCTTTCCATTCATTTTTTTCCCTTCCTGTCTGACCAAGTAAAGGTTTAGGGCATATAACCTCAGTGCACTTAATGAGAAACCACAAAGTAAAACTCTGTGCTGAAATACTGTTCCACATTTATGATGTGCTTTGGAAAAAATGGCATGAAATGTCTTTGTGACTTTCTGATACTCTATGTGCTAGCATGCATGTGTGTGCATTACAAAGAGGTGATGTGTTTGCGTAGCTTTAATAAAAGTGGGCGATTTTTTTATTTATTAAATCTGGGGGACACTCGTCGTCTCAGCCTGTTTGTCTCTGAGATGTTTTCACCGGTTCTTGGGTAACGTAATGGATTTGGCTCTTTTGCTGCCTTATCCCTGTTTTCCCTGTGAGTGTTCAGCCAAAGTTCAGATAATTCAATCACTGCTATGACTCACACCAGTGTCCTTTTCTGCACAGATGCACAGGCACACACACACACACACACACACACACACACGTGTACCATGGAGCCTGGTTAGATGAGGCCTGTGAGTTCAGTGCTGCATCAGCCTCTCAGAGCACTTGTGAAATCATTAGCCACTCACACTCTCCCCATCTCTGTTGTTAATCTGCCTATGCCCTGTCATGCTTTGTCATTCTCTGTATTGTATCTCTCTCTCTCTCTCGCTCTCCCTCTCTATTACAGTTGTTTCCCTCCTTTCTGTCTGCTGCCAGCCATATGAGATCAAAATTACTACAAAGCTGTTCCTATCAAGTGAGAAAATATTCACTCAACCATAACAGAGGAGCAACTTACAATCTACATACCATTTTCTCCATTTGCATGCTTACGCGTGTGTCCATGTTTGCATGGGTTTCAATGACATGCATGGAAGCACATGCAAAAAGAGTAAGATACAGTAAAAAAAAAAAAAAAAAAAAAAAAAAGCACTCTGTGGATGTTGTCGCTGAGGCTGTTATTACTGGTCAAGCCACCTAGATTTATTGAGCTCTTCTGTACCAAAGCCTTTCCACTTAGCCTAATGACTGCCAACAGGAATGAGAACAGATGGCTCTGTTACAGTTGTAAGGATGCAATAACCACAGAGTTGGACAAAAGTGCCCGCTATTTACCATGTCTATTTTATCACACAAACTGAGATAAAAATGTTTGCTTGATTGATGCACTACACATATGATCAAACTATTAGTAACACAAGTTTTCCGTGGATACACAAAAGAAGTAATTCATTAGTCTCCTGTGCAATTTCTAAATGCAGCATGTAAGGTACATTTTGTACTTGAGCCTGTGCACTCAGGCGGTCTAAACAAACTCAAATATTCCTTTCCATCACTGATATAGGCTGACAGATTATGTAAATGGTTGAGTGACATTAAAGCTATTTAATTATGAACAGTGTAGGAATAAACAGGCCCACAAAAAAAAACTAAATTCAGGTCAAATGCAGGAAGTGAACAGGTTTGAGTAAACCTCTATAGGAGACAAAGGCAACATAAGCACTATACATGCATCTGTCCTTTCCGATGTCCATTCACTTGTCCATATGTCTGTCCCTGTGTTTGTGTGAGTAAGCTGAATAAGCAGGATTTCCAACACAGAGAGCAGGAAGGCCCTTCAAACCACACTCACACACCCTGACTGAAGGAAATCAAGGTCAGTGTGGTAACTGTGTACATGTGTGCGTCAGAGAAAGAGGGTCTGTATTTGTATTAACCCCTAGTGCATTATAATCTCTCCCATTTTATTCTCGGTGGAGGTGGACAAAGGTGTGCCTGTACTGTCAAAATATATCTCATTGGAATAAAGAGGCTTCCATTATTAGACTTATAGTGGGCATTGTGTTAGAATCAGATGTTGTCTTGTTTCTCTTTCTGTCTGTGCATGTGCTTGTACACACTGGCATAGTTAAAGATGGTAAACCTTTAAAAGCATATAAAGCATTCTGCTGGATTAGTAAAGCATTAATGACTGTAGTGTAGTTTGGTTAGCATATTCTGTCTGCTGTTCCACCTTCCACTGAGGAGGGCCTCAGTGGACTTTTAAGTCATGAAAATCATTTGATGCTATACACATGGGGTGGACATTATAATCATCTTACAATATTGTGTAAACAAATACAATAGCTACAATTTGTAAAACTTTCTAAATTAGACCTTTGCTGTGTCAGATTCAGTTGTGTTGTAATTTTTGGGGCAGCGGTTTAGGGTGTTTTTGCACTAGACACTGTTTTTGTAACCCACACCCACAAAATCCTTTTTGTTTTTGTAATGGTATCAGATGGCGTTAGAAATCAAAAGGCAGAGAGATTGACTGCAGATGGAGCAGCCTTGGTTTGTGCATGCCAAGACTTTGTTACACATTGTCCTATAGGTCTACTAACACACACCGCTACACACAATGCACACACTAAATCTGATT